AATCCTGTCTTGTAAGCACCAGGACCTGAGCGCAACACCCGTAACCCAAATAAAAAGTCAACATTGTATTAATTCAACAGCAAACCTAAAAATTTTATAGCCACTCTTGAAAGAGATGTATCTTTGCTCTGGAAACTGTTATGGAGTATGTTAAAGCTGTAATGAGATGCCTCTTCTAAAAAAAATTCAAAAATAAATTTAAAATTTTTTTTCACTGGGGAATCAATGAATTTATTGAGCTTACTTACAGAGATAACTGAGGGGTTGCTGAGGTATATGTATGACCTGAGGGTGTGCACACTGGAAAGCCTTTACCCAGCATGGGTCATGCCTTCTCTTCATAGCCTTCCCCACATTTTTACAGTAGATTTTGTTTAAATAGAATTAAATGTGCCTTTTTTCCTGAAAGGAAGTTTAAAAGCCAATCTGTGCTTTTGGTTAAAGTCTTATGTAGGTATTATATATCAAAATAATGGAAACCTTTTCCACATTGCAAACTACATGGAAACCAGCTTTGGAATGGCTCTAGAGACCAGGGTTGACTTTTGTCTAACTCTATCATTTCCATGGAAATTGAAGGGTCCCCTCTAAAGGCTGCACAGGACAGCCTTTGCAGGAATCAGAAACAACTTTCTCTGTAGTGACCTAGACCCTTCACAGCCTCCACAGGGAGATTCCTCATTCCCTAGTTCAGTCTTTCCTCGTCAGTACGATGCAATTGCTGCATCTCACAGATATTTCTCACAGAACGTGAGAGAAAAGGAATGAAACTGGTAAGTGCTGCGGCTTTGATCTCAACTCTGCTTTCTAAGATCAGCAAGCACTCACTGCATGTTTATCCAGGGCAAGGAACTTTTGATGTAGCATTTTTTTCAGTCTCACAAGTCTATGCCATAGGTGCTACTATTATACCCATCTGGAAAAATGAGATAAATTAGACTTTGGAAATTGTGAATTGATACAGCTGAGAGTCCACCTCCTACTATGATTTTCTGTCAAAAAGATAACATCCTACAGGGTAGAGGAAGACGTCAGATAAGCAGAGGGTTGACTCGGGTCTGGACTTTGGTGGTATGGGTATTGAGGAAATCCTGAGTGTAGCTCCATAGCACTTTTGTGTCAACAGTAACAGTTGTGTAACAGTAACAGTTTCAGTTTCCTACTTGGACATCAGGTGCTATGTGGTACTTCCTGGTTGGTGAATTTAGTTAGTAAGAGATCCTCCACCAGTATCTCTTACCTGCTGAAAAGATCAGCCATGTTAAAAGAACACTTTGAAATGAAAATAGGACAAGATCAAAGAGACAGCGTCACAAAACAGGTGAGCTAGCGGTCCACCTGTGTAAGGTAGAATGACATGTTTGTTAAGCCAGGCCAATCTGTCAACACAGTATAGGCTGAATATGATAACATGAGTATGCTAACTTGTTCCTATGGAAAAGTATAATTAATTTTTCAGCGTGAACTTTGCAAAGCAAAATTGAGACAATTGACAAAAGGGAGGTGTAGACAGTCAAAGAGTTTTAATAAAATCCTAAGTTTTCACGAATCTCCAATTTAACCATACCTGTTTACACATGTGCCTGGGATGCAACTGGGATTTCCTTTTCCAGATCAATAAAGTCTTAATTAGTTGACCTTTCAGATCTACTTCAAAACATTATTTTTATAACATGTAATTTATTTATTCTTGATTTCCATTTGCTTTTGCTTTACCTAAACACTCCGGCAGAGGAAGCTTGCCATATGTTTTATGAATGAATCAATAAACTTGTTCATCAGAACCATTGTTTGTTCATTGTAGTCAATTCTCATGAACCCATTAGGGCAGGACCTCGGCATAACAAACACCAGCTTCTATTACTTACTCTGCCTTGCCTCGTCACCCTTGGTTTGGATAGTTTCATGGCAAAAGGCTAATCTTACCATTATTACCGTTTTTACCAGTTCCTTTCTTCGAAATGGCTAAGTTTGCTTCCACACTGATGAGGTTTGAAAGTTTTATTTTCCGTGAAGAGAAACTGAAACTTCTATCAGTAATTCAAGTGGATTATTCCATGCCTCATTAGCATCAATTATCTCTAGGAGGAAGCAGGAAGTTTGATAGGCCTTCAGATGGGTTACTGCACTACAGCTAAGAGCTGGAAACAAACTATGCTTCAAGCAAACAAGTGCAAACAGCAAGGACTTTAACCTGGGAGCTTAGAGAGCTGCCCTAGGCTGACGGTGAAAAAGTTAGGTCACAGAGACAGGTCTTAGGCAGCAGTGTAGGAACTCCAGTTCCAAAGTTGGTCTTAGCACATGATAATGATTTTTATTTGGTGAGAAATATTGAAAATATTAAAAGCTAGACAAAGAGCATTTAATAAAAAGGAAAATAATTTTTAAAAAGCTAGTTCCTTTTAAATTGGTATGTTCTGATCTTGGGTCTAAAAAAAAAAAAACAGAAAAAAAAGGGTTGGAGAGATGGCTCAGTGGTTAAGAGTACTAGCTGCTGTTGCAGAGGACCCAGATTCAGTTTCCAGCACCCACACGATGGCTGACAACTGTCCATAACTCTAGTTCCAGTGGATCTGATGCCCTCTTCTGACTTCCATGGGCGTTGTATGACATGTGTAATCCCTTGAGCTCTTAAAGAAATATACTGATGACTTTACTCTTTGATTGTACTTTCCTTTTGGATGTTTAAGACCATACAGTTGGCCCAAAAAAATCAAATGATTTTTACACTTAAGGTCATTTGATGACCTGTTTCTCAGGGGTCATATGGGCTTGGGAGCAGCTCCTGGCTCCTTTCTTTTACCAGTTCTATCCTTGTGAAGATAAGTAAAAGGTCCAGTTTGACCATAGCTGGATTCACTTGGAAGCATGAATGAGAGGTTTCCTCTGAGTTGACCCTCGTCTTTGTAGACTGGACACTGGTTCGAGTCCATCTCATGGGGTCTTACTTACATACATGCAGGCAAAAGACTCATACACATAAAATAAAAATAATAAATAAAAATACTTTTAAAAGAAGATCTAGAGAAAAGAATATGCCTTTTTTAGATTTCCATCTACTAATCTCTCTTTTATCCATTCACTGAACTGCAACACAAGCATTTATTGACTATCTACTATGTGTCACAGCTCCACAGAGTGCTCATAATAATCACTAAGATATATGTGTACACTAATCATTTTTTACCTTTTGTTGAGTATATCTCTAAGGGTACAATCAAATTGTAAAATATTTTTCAGACAGTGGTCTGTGACGGAGACACGAGTACCGATGGAGGTGTGGGAGCATCACAGAGGAAGTTGTAGTGAAGGAAGACTTGCTTCGCCTTGCTTCGCTTTGACATCTCTCCTTGCTCCCTGGATAAGCTAAGAGGTCCTGAGCAGAAACCCAAACGATACCACATCTTCACACGGGAACCCAGAGTGCTGGTGATATTAGCAGTGTGCACAGTGAAGGAAGACAATGGTGGATCAGTAGCAGACGGGTTGGTTTGGAAGTTCATGAGAATTATCTAAATGTTTGGAGTCTGGAATAGCAGTACATTTTTGTTCTTCTTAATTTGTTTGCTTTAATTCTTACAATTTGTGTTGCCAGTTGCCAGGGACAAATAAGCATGTAGGCTAAAACATGTGTGTTCTAACTGTACAAAGGACTGTGACAAACATCAATTGTGTTCAGATAGGAAACAGCATGCTCAAATTGAACACAGTTTAATAAAGGGACTATTTACAAGGGAGCTGAGAGAGTAAATGCAAACCAAGGTTGTGTGTTCCAGAACTCAAAACAGCAGGCAGTCATAAGAAAGAGGACAGAGAGCAAGCAGACAGTCTTTAGAGATATCCATCTGACAGGAGCCAGGGCCTTTAGCAGAGTAAAGATCACTCGTGGAGCCTATCCAGACAGGAAGAGTCCAGCTTTCACTAGTGCCCTTAGTTCCAAGATGAAAAAGCCCTTGACTCGAAGTCCCCCAGCTTAGCCTCATGGGATACCAGCGGGGTACAGAAGTTGGGAAGTTGGTCTAGAGAGAGAAATAGAAGCTTTCCATTATGTATATAACATATATTCATAGTTTTTTTAAAGATATCTCTCACAATGACAGTAATCAGAACTAACCTGGAGTAGTTGCTTGCCACATATAAGGCAGTGCATTAGTATTCTATGTGCCATTAGATATTTAGAACAACCTTATGATATGGGCACTATAACTTATACTCTTATCAAGGAAAGCATAAAGGACAGGAGATATTAATTTCCTCCTTCATCAGCTAGAAGTAGCAGAGCTGTAATATGACTGAAAGAATCTGCCTTTAATCCCAGCACTCGGGAGGCAGAGGCAGGCAGATCTCTGTGAGTTCAAGGCCAGCCTGATGTACACAGTGAGTTCCAGGACAGCTGGGGCTACAGGGAGACCCTGTCTCAAAAAGACCAGAAAAAAGAAAGAAAGAAAGAAAGAAACTGAAGCTTGGAAAGTTTAAGTGAATGTGGTTGTGGAATAATGATCCTATGGTGAACTTAGATTCTCTTAAGTCTTATACTTTTCCTATGACATCTTATGGTTTAGAAAGAATAGGATGACCATGTGAACACAGAGACAGTTTGACCTGGAAAGAGAGGGGAGCCGAATTTGTGGAGTCTGTGTTCTTCAGGCTAAGGAAATAGCATGAGTACAATTCTGGAGAATTTACCTTTCCAAGTGGGCTAATCTGGCTAGACTCAGAAGCTGGCAATGGAGGGGCTTCTAGATACAATATGTAAGAGACCGAGGGAGGAAAAGATGCTGAAGAAGCCAGTTCCACAGAACAGAGGACGAAAAAAAAAAAAAAAAAGGAGAACTGGGAAAGGCAGGTGCAGTGACAGAGTTACTGACTTCCAAAGTACTGCTCTTCCCAGGACATGCCCTACTTCTGTGTATCCCCTTATCCATATCTCAAGAGTTAGGGCTTTCTGGAATTCCATCTTCCACTGACTCTCAGCATGGGAAGAGGAAGAGGCTAGGTTCTAAGTTGCCCAGTCATGGACTGCTCTATTCCCCTCTGCCATACCTGTTGTTGTATGGGAAGGATATCTGTCTGAGATAATCTATAACGCTGTAACAAAATACCATAGACTAAGTAATTTATAAATAATAGAAATTTATTGCTCATAGTCCTGGAGGCCATGAAATCCAAGATCAAAGTGCTTGTATATGATGAGGGCTGCTTTCTACTTCCAAGTGACATCTGGGATGCCACATTCTCTAGAAAAAAAGAATACTTTGTTTTTTCATGACCAACAGGCCAAAGGTGCCAAAGACCATCTATTTAGGACTTTTATAATAGTATTAACCCATTCATGGGAACAGAGTCCTTGTGATCTAAACGGTTCCCCCAAATACCTCCCTCCCAAAGACAACTGCACTGGTGATTAAGCTCCAAATACAGCAGTTTAGAGAGCCACATTTAGGCCGTATTTATATCATTTAGTCCATACCGTGATAGACATTGTTCCTAGCTGACAGGATAAGCTTAGAAAGCTTAAATTCCAGCAAGAGGAGAATAACTAAGTAAAATTTAATCTTTTAACTAGTTCTATGGAAAAAAGGGTTGAAATAATGAAGGTTTTGATAGAATGATAGATGGAAATAGCAATGTCAGCAGATGACATGTGAGAAAAGCCTAGTGAAGGGAATGAAGGACCATGGGAAGCTCTGGAGAAAGGATATCACATGGAGAATAGCAAGAATAAAGGCCAGAGGACTGTCTATTACTCCAAGCAAAATGGGACTACATTGAGGTTTTTCTCCGTAGAAAGTGCATGACTCAAATTTAATTGTAAAAGACTCATTATGGTTCCCGTGAGAAAGGCCAGAAACAGGAAACTATTGCAGCAATGCTGGGGATAAATTATGGAAGCTGTGTTGGATGTGGTTAAAAGGTCAGCCCTGGATAGATTTTGGAACTAAAGCTGCCAAGATTTGCCAATGAATAGATATGAGATGAGAGAAAGAGTCAAAGATGAGGCTGTGACTTTAGTCAGTACCCTGGAAGGATGGAAATGTGTTTGCTGAGGTGGTTACACTGTGGCAAGTATAGTGTCTTATCCTGGTCCTTTAA